AAAGTATAATTAAGTGTCATTTTGAAACTTGAAGGATGAGAAAGGTAATTTCACCGAACTTTGGGTGGAAAAATGTCGTTCTTCCTAAATTAAATAGAGTAAACGGTTTTTCTCACCTAAGGATCCCTTAATGTCTAATGACACTTTTTCACCAAAATTTATATTATGTTAATATTCAAAATATAATTTACTTTCCAGACATTTGACAAGTTATTAGGAATTAAGAGGGGTTTTAAAGGGGAGAGATAGTAGATTGAATAGTAGTGATCAATTAAATATTTATTGTCGGAATTAGTCAAAAAATTAATTAAGAACAAGAAATTTTAGTTTTACAGTGCACTGATAATCAATGAGAAATCAGATGTTGAAGTAAGAGGAATTTTACAGAAAGGAGATCGGAGGCTCAAATAGTGATGATAGAGAAAATTTTTGTTATCAAATCGATTTTCGATAGTAACAAAATATTAACTTTAGATAAGAAAGTGATATTTTGAATTTTATTTTTTTTCGCGGAAAAGTGTTATTAAGATAAACCTAGGGTGGGAAAAAGTCCTATACTCAATTAAATAATTTATAAAATATCTTCAACACTAAAGCCTTGGCATCTTCGATGAATGGTGTATAACTAAATATGACTATATGAGTAACAATATGGTGAAATTATCATGAATAAGTGCACTTTTCGTAATTTTATTTAGAGTAAACGACCTTTTCCTACCCAAGGTTTGCTTGAATACCATTTTCTCACCCAAAATTTATATTTTGTTACTGCCCAAAACATATTTCATTTTCTTAACTAGCATTTGACGAGTTATCAGGAGTCAAGATAAAAAGAGTTTTGTAGATTGGAGGTCTGTGGATCAAATAACGGTGACTGATTAAATTAGGGTTGGGATAAATAATCTGGAAACCGAACCAAAAATTATGTTTTTTTACAAACCAGTTCGGTTTACAAAATTTAAAAAACCGAAAAACTCGCTCAGTTTTCGGTTTGGAATAATTTTCAAACCGGTTTAACTGTAAGTATAAAAGCAAAAATTATTTTTCACCTCGTACTCTCACTCACTAGTCTCTACTTCTCTAATCTCTATTTCTCTTCTCCAGTTCTCCACCTCCACACTTCCACAGTGCACAGTGCACACACCAGTCACCAGTGTCCACTCCACTCCATCTTCATTTCTTCGCACGTTTCGGTAGCACCTAGCAGTCTCCATTCTTCAGTCACTCCACTGTCCACATCGTAAGCAAACTCCACTCTCCAAGCTCCGATCTTAACAGTCCACACTCCACACCAACTGAGCAGGGCCACGCCGCCAGCAGTCTCCACAACAACCACCCAGTAGTCTCCACTGTCACCGTTGTCGCATTTCTTGAACCATTCTTGTCCAAGGTATGGACGAATTTTTATTCTATGCTAAGAATATATATGTTAGATAACTTGAATCTTAAAAAGTTTTGGTTATTGAAAAGTGGGAGAAAAAAGCCAGGACCAGGTTTTTTAGTTTATCGGTACCTATGATCATTATAGAGAGTTGAGTTGTGGCTCTCACTTTATAGACTGAAAATGGTTGAGGAAAATGGGTATTGTGTTAGAGTTGTCGTCTACTTCAGTATTAATGGGTAACAGAGACGCACTTGAGAGTCCCGCTACGTTATGAGGTGAGAGCAAACCTAGTATATAAACATACTTTTCTCTTGTTATGAGATGAGAGCAATTCATTCATTGTAAACGAGAGAATTGAGGCATATTACAATAATATTGACTCAGTTGGACGTAGCTCACATTGGGTGAACCAGGGTAAATCGCGCGTGTTATTTTTTTTGTTTACTGTTTGATTTGTTTTACTATTATATTTTGTTCACGTTGTTGTCTCTATTTCGTTTACATTGGGTTTCTTGCCTCGAGTTTCGGAGGAGTTAGAGAGTGAAAATGGTTGAGGAAAAAGAGAGTTTATTTGGGTTTGACTCATTAAGGGCAGAAAAGACACATCATGAGTATTTTTTCCCTTAAAATAAAATAGTTGGCTACTTACACTCAAATGTCAACTTTATACACTGGTTATGCGAATTTTTCAAAGCTCATCTGGGTGTGTCAAACAACCATGACTGAATCGAAGAGGAAGAAGAAGAAACATAGTGGTTCAAACAGAGGAGAACTCTATATGAATAAAATAATCAAACTAATAATATATTGATTTCTTTAATGCATTTGGTGGAAACTGGAAGTTTTATAAATCAGAATACAGGACCCCGTAGTTTAAATTTCAGAAGTCAATGTCAAATATATATTATATATAAACTAAATATTTAATAAAATCCTATTCCATGCGGTGCCTTGTGCTTGGCCTTGCACACATCTTAGGATCCAATACTTCAATTTTAAATTTGATGGACTTAGCTTTCACGTATGTTGGATCCATGCTTAATTTAATCTCCAGTGTTCCCCAGATGTTTGATGAAATGTGTTAAATAACTAAAAATAAAAGAGAAAATTTAGGGTATGTAAGGAATAGATGTGAAATGTATGCAAGGAAGGAAGTCCCTGTACATGGATTTGTCAATAGAGTATATTAAGAAACAAGGGATGATTGGAGCTGTGTAACATTTTGTTTTGTTTTTAAACTACTTGTATTTTTCCTTGGAATTTTGTGAGTTTCAAGAAGGTTCGTGGGGTGGGGTGGGGGAGGTGATGTAGTTGCAAGTTGCAAATGTGAATTGTAAATTACAAGACAAAAAAGCTGAAATTAGGTGTAAGTGAGGTGGAAAAGTAACCCGCCCGGCCCGGCTCGCAACGGGTTACTTCTTTTGGCGGATTGGTCCTAACTCGCCCGCCAACAAAAGCAGGCCGGGTTAGGCCCGCCATTTTTGGGGTAATGGTTGGCCCAACCTGGCCCGTCAACCCTAACTCGCCGGGTTAGGCTGCAGGTCGGGTCGGGTCGGGTTAACCCTATTTTATGATTTTTTTGTTTGTTTGTTTGTTTTATTTAGTTAACTTTTCAAATAAACAATTAACGATTTATAAATGAATAAATATAATTGTTTTTAGTTAACTTTTCAAATATCAATAATTCAATTAAATTAATTATTTTTTTATTAACATTTCAAATATTAATTCAATTTTAATACAATAAAATTGTAATATAAGAAAAATTAGATTTATTCATTCAATTGATGAAACTTTAGCATAAGAATGAATTATATTTTATACAAGACATGTAAATTTAAGAATAAGGCTTCAGTATTTAATTTTTTTATATTTTACGTACCATAAAAAATAATAATAACAATGTGTCAAATATTACGAAGTTTTATACATTTTAATATTTATGATTTAGAAGTATAGTTTAATATTATTGTGTAAAATTATTTGTGAGAGTTCAATCATAATAGTTTAATGAAAACAATTAAAAAAATATGAGAAACTTGAATAAAAAATTAATTTTTTATTTTTTTAATTTTTTTTGGGCCAAGCCAACCTGTCGGGTTGGCTATTGTAAACAAATAGCAACCCGTCGGGTTGGCGGGTTGCCATATAGCAACCCAGCTTGTCCGGGGGTTGGATTCAACCCAACCCATCTTATGAACCCTCTCTAATACAGATCAGATTAGGATTGATCTGTTTAACCTGATCCATTTGTTCTACCTCCATGTAACAAGTTTTAAATTTTATAAATTAGAAATGGATAACTGTTAATTAATTCTTATGTGTCCAAATTATCTCGAGATCAAGTCTGGAAAGAACCTCTTGTCTTCAAAAAAGGTACAGATAAGATTTGGTTTCTCCTTACACCTGTTATTTCACTTTTACTTTTATCTTATTATATTGATTTTATATACACTTTGGAATTATGTGATAGTGATTCTGTTTATTATATGATTGTAACATCCAAATTATGTGAGATTCAAACTTAATTAGTACATATACCAGAAATTCAAAGTATATTTTATTATTTTCATTATTAATATTTATAGTTGTTAATTGTCTATGATGATTTTCTTCGTATGCCATTAACTAATTCGGGAAATGTGGAATCAAGAGACTCCACTAACACCAATATTATGGGATAAAGATGATTTATGTTATGTTAAGTTTTTTTAATTTATAATTTCATGTTATGTTTAGTCATTGCCAAATTAAATTTATGTTATGTATTTGAGTTTATTAATGAGTATTGACTATTGAGTAATATGTAATTGAATTCTTTAAGTTTTTATTTCATATTCTGGATTCAATATCTACAAATAAGTAATTTAATATATTTTTCTTATAAAGAATACTACAATAATACCAAAATAAAAGAGAAAAATAGCGTGAAATTATATATAAAATAATAAATATTTGAATTTAGGGACTTAAATGAAACATTGAAGAATTTTAGGGGTTAACTTAAAAACCGATTAACCGTTAACCGAACCGAATATTCGATTCAGTTTACAATCATTTTATAATCGAAACCAATCCAATTTTCGGTTCGCATTTTCTCTAAATCGAATAACCGGTTCGGTTAACCGGATTATCCCACCCCTAGATTGAATATTTGATGTCGGAATCAGCTAAAAATCAATTAAGAACAAGAATCTTTAGCTTTACGGTAGTTGACAATCGACGAGAAATCAGGTGCTGGACTGAGAGGGGTTTTTTAGAGATGATACTAGAGGTTCAAATAGCGGTGACGGAGAGAATTTTTGCCATCGGAATCGGCTTTAGGTAGTAACGGAATATTGACTTTGAGTGGGAAAGTGGTATTTTGAAACTTATTGAGTCGTAAATGTCATTAAGGCAAACCTTGGGTGGGCAAATTTTTACTCTTTTATTTATTTACTGTAAGACAGACAACTGGTTTATAAAATGTATTTTGAAATTTGAAACTGCAAACATCTGCCTCCTTTCTTCATCAAACAGGTAAAAGTAAAACACACAACCTGCAACTGCAACTACTAAGTGCTACTCTTGACTATTTTTTTTTTTTTCATTTATGATTTAAATGTGAAGGTCAAACATGGCTCGGACTAAACAAACCGCTCGCAAATCCACCGGAGGCAAAGCTCCTCGGAAGCAACTCGCCACCAAGGTACCTTTATAAATCCTTTCCATTTCGGTTTTTTTTTTTAACATCTGTATTTACAGAACAAAAACTATTTTTCTTAATGACGTTTCAATTAGGTTAAATGGGTTGTGAATCATAAAACTTCATGGATATGGAATATTTTAATTTCCATTTTGCTATATTTATGTTCTTGGAGCATTAAGAAATATTAGGAAGGTTTAATAAGAGTTGGAGTAAAAACTATTAGTAATTTCTTGCCACATCCAAATGTCATGTTTTATAGATCTATAAAGCCTGAATGTGCAACTAGTTTTATGTTATCAGCCCATGTAAAATCAGATGATCTAGTCTGTTGTTAATTACAATGTGCAAGTTATGCTATAAAACTATATATGTCCTCAGCCATTTTGGAGAGGTTCATTGCTATTTGAGTATTGACCATAATTTTCAGTAACTGTTGCTTTTAATTCAATTTTAAGGCTGCAAGAAAATCAGCACCCACCACTGGTGGAGTCAAGAAACCTCATCGTTACCGCCCCGGAACTGTTGCCCTTCGGTACAGAATTTTATGCATCACATCACCAAGAACTTTTTCATTTTCCCTCTTCTGATGCTCTGCTTGAAAGAAATAAATACCAATTCAGTGGCTGATTTCTCTAAATGTTTTGAACAGTGAAATTCGGAAGTACCAGAAGAGCACTGAACTCTTGATCCGTAAGCTGCCCTTCCAACGTCTTGTCCGTGAAATTGCACAGGACTTCAAGGTAAATTTTTTGTTAGATTAAGTTTTCTCTCTTCTTATGTTTGTCCCTTTATACTATTTGTTTCATCATTGTTTATCTAATCCGAGGATCCAGTTTATATTCTTTCTACTTTGTTTCTGCTTAGACGGATTTGAGGTTCCAGAGTCATGCTGTTCTAGCACTTCAGGAAGCTGCAGAGGCTTACCTTGTTGGTTTGTTTGAGGATACAAATCTATGTGCTATTCATGCCAGGAGGGTAACAATCATGCCTAAGGACATCCAGCTTGCCAGGCGAATCCGCGGTGAAAGAGCTTAGATGTTCTGGTTTGTTTGTTCATTATATTCTTTGTTCATTTCGGTCAGTTGCCATGTATTTTACTGTTAGACTTACTATGAGACTCTAATCTGAACATTGATTTGCTTACTGAAACACTAAATCCCTGTACTCGCTCACTTGTTCTTTAAGACAAGGATTTGATATTCTGTTCTCTCTATTATATTGCTCTCTTTTCTCTTCTTAGTCATATTCTAAATTTATTTGCTATTTATTTTGAATGCTCTGAATTCAGAACTGGGTAAGTTGTTAGATCTCACAACTTCAGTGGCCAGAGAACTTATGGGATAATAATATTACCTAATAGTTGGCCATAACTCATAAGGGCATTTTTATCTTGGCTTTGTGGTTGGAATTCAAAGTTTTAACTACTCAACCCAACACGAGGGATTTTATTTATTTGAAACGACTGTTGAGGTATTTTGTGGCATGTTGCCTGACTTGTGGGATATAGTATTACCTAATAGTTGGCTAAAAGAGCATTTGAGTCCTTGACTTTGTGGATGGAAATCAAAGTTTTAACTACTAAACCCAACATGAGGGGTTATATTTATTTGAAATGACTATTGAGGCATTTTTGTGGTGCACTTTGCCTGATATTTTGTTTCTTATTTTTAACAAAATTCGCAGCCGGAACTTTTGTGAATTTGAATTTGAATTTGAATGATATGATGGAAAAGTGTTTTACAATATGTGATTTTGAACATATGCTTGTATCATTCTCTTATGCATTTTCCTATCGAAAACCTTAACTTATGCTTTTGTAATTTTTTTTTTTTTTTTTTTTGATAATTACTATATGTTGGTTTTGGTTGGGGGACTCTGATTGATTAAATTAACTGTTAACTTCCATTTGTCTACTTTCATTGCACCAAAAAAATTAGTGATTGTAATGAACCTGTTATAGATGTATATGACTTCTTAGATTATAGGGATCACATTAAAATCCTTGATTATAGGAATCACTTCTATCTTAATTTAGATTGATCACCTATCTAGTTTAGAACACTACAAGTGTATATAAATATGTATCTTTTTAAGCTATGAATGAGAAGAGTGAATATTCATTACGTTTATTTACATGGTATCAAAGCCTTAAAAGATAATTAGGGTTTGGGTCTCAAAATTGGGAAATTAGGGTTTGGGTTTCAAATTGGGAAAACCTGTTTAGGTTGAGATTTGTTCAACATCGCCACCCAAGGGAGATTCAAAAGCCGCTGATCGGCAAAACCGCCATCAGAATCACTGCGCGTGAGCTCCACGCGCCACCCAAAACTCTGGTGAATAGTAACACGCGTCGGCGCGTGTGAGCGCGTTCACAGCTGACTTCTCATCTGATTGTCTTTGTTTGCTTCGCCGGTACTTGTACATCACATTTTCGTGCTGGATTGGGTAATCTCTTACTGGTTCACTGCTGTTCTTTGTTTGGATATTTCTGAGGACTTAGTTGTGATCTTTTAGCACTTTGTTTTCGTTTGGTTATTGGTTTTTTTGCTTGCCGTGGCCTCTGGTTGGTGGTGACTATTGATTGATTTGATGTGTCACTGAAATTTAGTTAGTTTGCTTTGTTTTAACCGTTTGTTGGTGTGTATTGGGATTATCATCTGTTTAAGACATGTCTAATACAAAGCCAGTAATGGAAATTATACCGACGATGTCGAAAATTACAGAACATAAGCTCATTGGTATAACTAATTACCATGATTGGCGTAAAACTATTATACTGTATTTGTGGAGTATTGATAAAGATGATCATATGACTAATGATCCACCTGAGGATGATTCGAAAAAGACATGGCTCTGGGATGATGCTCGGTTGATTCTACAAATACAGAACTCTATTGACAGTGAGGTACTTGGCCTAATTAATCATTGTGAGTTTATTAAAGAACTGATGAATTATTTGGAGTTTCTGTATTTTGGAAAAGGGAATGTTTCTCATATTTATGAAGTGTGTAAGACATTCTACCGTGCAGAGAAACAAGATAAGTCTCTTACAACTTATATTATGGAGTTTAAGAAGACTTATGAAGTGTTGAACATGTTGTTACCCTTCAGTGCTGATGTCAAAGTTTAACAAAAACAACGGGAGCAAATGGCAGTCATGAGTTTTCTTGCAGGTCTTCCTTCTGAATTTGAGACTGCTAAGTCTCAGGTTCTAGCCAGTCCAGAGATCTCTTCATTGCAGGATGTCTTTAATAGGGTACTTCGCACAGAAGGTACCCCACCGGTTTAGTTTAGTAGTGCTCTCGTCAGTCAAAAGAATGACTATGAATCTGGGCGATCACAATTTGGAAGTGGCAACAAAGGAGGAAGGTCAAATAGTAATATGGGAGGAATTATGTGTCACTATTGCCATAAGCCAGGACACATGAAACGTGATTGTAGAAAGCTTCAGAACAGAAATAGAAGAAATCCCTCTGCCCATGTTGCATCCACCAATGATACTTCGGATCAGTCAGTTCTTATCTCTGCAGATGAATTTGCCAAGTTTTCATTGTACCAGGAATCATTAAAGGCTTCACCTACTCCTGTCACGGCTATGGCTGACTCAGGTAAGCCAAATACATGTCTCCTTTCCTCATCCTCCAAATTCATCATTGACTCTGGTGCAACAGATCACATGTCAGGTAATCCCAGTCTCTTTACTACTTATCAATAAAAAACCCTTTCGAATGTGACTTTAGTAGATGGGTCACCATCCTACGTTCTTGAGTCTGGCACAGTTACCCCTACTCCATAGCTTCCCTTGTCAAATGTCTTACATTTACCAGATTTTTCTTTCAATTTGATTTTTGTTAGCCAACTTACTCGTGCTCTTAATTGTTGTGTTTTATTCTTTCCCGATTATTGCTTGTTTCAGGATCTTACGACGAAGAAGATTATTGGTAAAGGACATGAATCTGGAGGTTTATACAATCTCGACATACCAAAATCTACACCTGTTGCTTGTTCTAGTGTTGCATCCCCGTTTCAAGCACATTGTCGTTTAGGCCATCCATCTCTTCCTTCACTGAAGAGATTGTGTCCTCAGTTTAATAAAATGTCTACATTAGAGTGTGAGTCATGTCAGTTTGCTAAACATCATCGTGTCAGTTTTAGTCCTATAGTCAATAAAAGAGCTAATTCTCCCTTTGAGTTAGTTCACTCTGATGTTTGAGGTCCCTGTCCAGTTCTGTCTAAAACTGGTTTTAGATGTTTTGTTATATTTATAGACGATTACTCTCGTATGACTTGGTTATTTTTAATGAAAAATTGTTCTGATTTGTTTTCTTATTTTTCTGCTTTTTGTACTGAGATTAAAACTCAATTCAATGTTTCTGTTCATACATTGCGCAGTGATAATGCAAAAGAATATCTGTCAGTTTCTTTTCAAAATTACATGACCCAGAATGGCATTCTTCATCAAACTTCATGTGTTGATACTCCATCTTAAAACGGAATAGCAGAACAGAAAAACAGACATCTTCTTGAAACTGCCAGAGTCTTATTATTCCAAATGAATATTCCTAAACCATTTTGGGCTGATGCCGTTTCCACCGCTTGTTTTTTGATTAACCGCATGCCGTCTTCTGTCCTTCATGGTGAGACCCCGTACAATATTCTTTTTCCTAACAAAGCATTATTTCCTCTTGAACCTAGGGTATTTGGTAGCACTTGCTTTGTTCGGGATGTTCGACCATCAGTCACTAAATTAGATCCCAAGTCATTAAAATGTGTCTTTTTTGGTTATTCTCGACTTCAGAAAGGATATCGGTGTTATTGTCCAAGTCTTAATAAGTATCTTGTTTCCATTGATGTTACCTTTCTAGAAGAAACACCATACTTTCCCTCTTCTCTTGCAAATCGTTCGAAGGATGATGATAATGATGATTTGTTAGTTTATACCTTCACTTCCCCTGCACCAATATCTGAATCGGCTCCTGTCTCTGACCCTGTCACTATTCATATGCTACCTACATCGGCTCCTATCTCTTATCCTGATCCTGATCCTGATCCTACTCCTGTCAAAGTCTACTCTCGTCGTCCACCTCCTCCTGTTTCATGTTCGGCACCAACTTCTTCGTCATCCGATCCAGTTTCAAGTGATGATCTTCCTATTGCATTGCAAAAAGGTAAACTATAGTGTACTTATCTTGTTTCTTCTTGTGTTTCTTATGATCATTTGTCACATTCATCATGCTCCTTTATTGCTTCCCTTGATTCTATTACTATCCCTAAAACTGTTCATGAAGCCCTTTCTCATCCTGGTTGGCGTAATGCAATGATAGAGGAAATGAATGTCTTAGATGACAATGGTACTTGGAAATTGGTAGATTTACCTTCAGGGAAATAGGCAATTGGATGCAAATGGGTGTTTACAGTTAAAGTTAATCCAGATGGGTCAGTTGCTTGACTAAAAGCTTGTCTGGTTGCTAAAGGATATGCTCAGACTTACAGAGTTGATTATTCTGATACTGTTTCCCCTGTGGCTAAGTTTACCTCTATTAGGCTGTTTATCTCTATGGCAGCTACTTATGATTGGCCTTTGCATCAGCTAGACATCTAGAATGCTTTTCTTCACGGCGATCTTCAAGAAGAGGTATATATGGAGCAAACTCCTGGGTTTGTTGCTCAGGGGGAGTATGGGAAAGTATGTTATCTTTGCAAATCTATGCATGGTTTAAAACAGAGTCCTCGTGCTTGGTTTGGAAAGTTTAGTCAAGCTGTTGAGAGATTTGGTATGCTGAAATGTAAAACTGACCATTCTGTTTTCTACTAACGGTCTGAAACTGGCATCATTCTTCAAGTTGTGTATGTGGATGATATTGTTATTACTGGGAGTGATAGTGTGGGCATCACATCTCTTAAGTCTTTTCTCCATACCTAGTTCCACACAAAAGACTTAGGGATATTGAAGTATTTATTGGGGGTTGAAGTTACAAGGAGAAAACGAGGTATATTCCTCTCTTAGAGGAAATATGTTCTCGACTTATTAACTGATGGTTCCTAATGTGCAGCTTACGAAAGATGGTGAACTATTTGGAGATCCTGAGAAATATAGAAGATTGGTCGGGAAGTTGAACTATCTTACGGTGACTCATCCAGATATTGCATATTCAGTAAGTGTTG